AAATTAAATTAAATTAAACTCAGGCTGGATTCATATGGTGCCATCAAAATGCCACAAGAGGACTCCTAATTAAGCACTCATTATAATTCAAAATAAACAGAATCCAGCTGTTCTTATTTATTTCAATGCTGAGAAAAGGTTTAATATGGTTATGCATAGATTTCTGAAGAAGACTACGGTTCCTCTGAATTTTCCAAAAGGTTGTACATTCTACGCTGTTTCCAGATCATGAATGTTTATGCATGTGTGTTGTCTCTTTGTCATGGGAAATACAACACCATAAGATTTTGCTTTCCATTCATAAATTCCTTTTACTCATATGTTAAATTCAAGTTTACAAATGTGTATTAATTACTAATCATAAAGAATCACTACGTGACATTTGAAAAAATGTATCATAGACACCTGCTTATTTTCCATTGCACGTGTCTCCTTGGAACATATACAACATTAGAACAGGATTAGTAGATATGGTATAACATACTTATGAATTCAGGCCTCTATTCTCTCTAAAATGAAGGGCTAAGATACTAATCAATGATGTTGAGCATATTATTTTGTGTTATGTACTCTAATGGGTACAAAGATATTATATTTATCTCTGTTCTCTATATCTGTATCCAAATACTTCTCTGACATTTAATTAAATGGCCTTGGGAGGGAAAGCCACAAACAGCTCTGTAATGAGAAAAACATCTCTTAATTGGCTTCACACAGAGAAATCTATGGATGACAAAAGAGGATTGGTAGAACAGTGGCCTCATTTTCTGATTCCACAATCAGCAAGATTACAAATTGGGTGGCTCTAAAAAGGCTGCAATGTGTTCACCTATCCGTTGAAAGCTGATCCAAGATGATGCAATATATTTTCTATTGGATGCCATGTCCTCATATCATCCTCAAACATTAATCACCACAACATATGCAGATTATATGGAATGAGAGAACAAGCAGAAGAACAAGGCACAGATGACTAGCACATGGGTTTTCTTATCTCTTCTTTGTTCAATCGTCATGTTAGGATTTAATCTCTGGTTATCTTCTTTAAAATCCACACACAAGCAAGAAAATATGCCCACATTTGTTCCCCATAAAAGAGACTAAAATTCTTTATTAGGGAAGCTTTGTCTCTTACTAAAATCTCTGTAGGCCAAATATTTTTCACGGTCATCTCAGCAAGCAGATAGAAATCTATAACAGGATCTCTCACTTTGTGTTGTCTCAGGACTTTTCCTGATTTGCACTTAGCTACAGCACAAACTTGCTTTGACATCATCTTCCTTCTGCTGTGTCTGCTTGCTCTGCAACCCATGAATGAAGCAACCACAAGTCACATGCCAGTCTTTTTTAAAAAAGTTTTTGGGTTTTTATTTTTAAAATATACATCAACATCAATACATGAACAGTGCAGCATCTGGGTATCATTCATTTTGGGACAAGAGGCAATAATGATATTAATAATACTTGTTACATTAATCAAATTTATGAAATGCTAGTATTTATATACACATTTGTTTTAAAGTAGTTATTCAATATTTCAATGTTCCATTTTAATGCCAATCACAATATTATTTGAGCTTACATAGTAATGCCGTCTTTTAACCTCTAATCTTTCCCTCTAGTTATTGCTTTTATTGTATAAAAAATATGCGTGCTAATATTCCCTCTATTTCTTATTTCTACCTCTATTCTGGCTTCAAATCAGGCCATCATTGCTGATCCTAGTGTTGACATACATCCATCATCTCTTGCCTGTTTTGATACTTCAATTCTTATTCACTTTTTAACTTGCCTCCCATACTCCTCTCTTGGATCCTTATCTCTACCTACATCTGTGTCTTCACTATTCAGTCTAAACATTTCTCTCATCTCTATCCTCTTATGCTGCCCAGTCTCCAGAGGGTCCTATCTCCCTTTCAAAGACAGTAGATAGTTCCAGCATTTTAAAATGCCTTTCTAAAACAATGCCTACCCAGTTTGAAAGTCCAATTTTCTATGTTTTAAAAAATCTTTAGTTTTTCTCCCCTTAGTTCCTTTCTTTCAGGTCTAAGGGTTTTCTCTATATAATTGTTTGGCGCTTTAACAAACAGTTCAAAGAGTCTCTTTTCATGGATTTTCTCTTTTTTTCCCTTTTTAAAGTTAGGGTCTAAATAAAAAAGGAATCTACTTACCCAGCTCTAGTCACTGTCCATCTACGCCACTCCTGCACTTTCTTTGTTGCCTAGGCTGTCCCAGCTCCTCAGCTGCCATAATGGCTGCCTCTTCTCCTCATTGTGGATAAGAGGGAAAAAGCCCTGAGTTGAGCAAAAGAGTTGTGGCTCCCCATGACCTACAGGGCATCCCCTCTTTTCTTTACCACGCCTACAGGGTGGCTTTAACTCCTATTGGAGCCCTCCAACTGGGAGAACTCAGTGTAGGAGCATGGAGACCTGCTCCTTGGGTCCGATCTCGCCATGACACCAGCTGGAAGTCATTACATGCCAGTTTTAAAGTAGTATTTTCCCCTTTGTTTTAACACAATTGAGGGCAGCATCAAAATATGTTTTTAAAAAACTCAGGCTTTGTCAGCAGTACATTGGAGGGAGGTTTGGTGGCTGCTGTGATGGAAAGGGGACAGGAAATGGATGTGAAAGGCAGGAGGAAGAGCTGCTGCCAAGGTCAGATAGTTGAGGCTTGAGCCCAGCTTTAAAAAAATCTGTCAGACAAGCCTCTCCCTGGTTCACATGACAATAAAGAGAGTGAGGGAGAAGCACATTCTGACTTGTAAGATTCTGTTATTAAAGCTGTTCCAATAAAAATAGTTTTAGACCTCTGTAGCATTAGTTCTGTCTGATCTACCTAGTAGTCCTGAAACATGTCTGAAACATGAAACAAAAGAGGCAACAGAGTCAAATAAGGATCACCTATGGGGATAATAAGTTTCATGCCAGTATAGTCTTCCACCTGTTTAAATGTAGGTGATTAGCACAGCCATGGAAAGAGGCATTTTTCAATTGTGACAACAATAATCCAGATTAAATCTGTACTATTGATTTTGGGTAGCATATATACTTAATTATGTTCAAATAACAGATGCAAATTTATAACTTATGTACGTTTATTTACTTTTATAACTTTTTAAAGAAAATAAAAAGCAATAGGATGCAATTTATTGCAAATTATTGGAGAAAAAACTATATGTATAGACACATGAGTTTATCAGAAATATGCATGCTTGACTTCTATTAAAAATGAAAAAATCAATAGGCTGTTGTGAATTTTTGCTAATTTTGATGATTTTTGCAAAAAAAAAAAAGATACTCTATTCCTTGCTCTGCAAAGCATGTACAATGAGAATGTACATTAATAAAGTTAGATGCAGTGTTTTAAACTTCCACTGCTTTCAGGGAGAGATAGAAGCATTTAGTTTTTCTTTTGAGCAACTCCAAATCCGAGAAGTTTTGCTTTTTCATGAAAGTTTTCAGTAATTTGAGAAGTGAGAAGTAAATAGTAACATTGAAATATATCACTATCAAATATGCCTGTGAAAAACAGTGAACTGAATTTGTACGGCTATTTTCTTTTTTGTAAACTACTGAGGTTGTTATTCCACCAGGAGTTTCCTACTTCTGTCTCATTTCCACCTTTACTTTTGCCTTGAATGAAGCTTTCCCAGAATGGTGATTTTTTTTATCTAAGGATACTTTGAAAGTGGAGAGATTTCAATGAATTGAAAGATTCTGAAATAGAAACTGAAATGGAAACTGAAGGATTTTGAAATAGTTCCGACTGACTATAAAATTCTGACTACTCAGGCTTTTTTTTGTGATTTGTATACTTGAAGATAAATTCCTGGAAAATTATTTTATTTTAAGCAGTCCTCACCTTACAAACAAAAATGGGACTGAATCTTGATCATTGAGTGAAACAGTAGTTCAATGCGATGTGAAATGACCACTTGGCTCAATAACCACAGTCTTGGCACTCCTGGTTGCACTCGTTAAGTGAGAAATTTGAGTCATTAAATGGACAGTCCCATGTAAGGAATATGGGGTGCCTCAATGTGGTGGAGGAATAGGAATGTGCATTTAACTATTTCTGATTGTCCATTTTAATAACTGCTTTTTAATTTCATTTTTTTGTTTTAATTTCATTTATGTATTCCAGATGAATATACAAAATGCAAATTTTGTGTCTCTTTTTGATCTCTTACTTTATTTATTATTCTTAATCCAAGATTTATTGGATTAAGATTTATTAATTTAAGATTTATTCTTAATCCAAGGTGAATTATTCACCTTACCATTACTTTTCAGATTAGGTTGATTTCACCTTTTTCTTTTCTTTTCTTCTAATGTACCAATTTTTCTAGTTCTGGCTGGACATTTAAAAACAACTGTAATCCTGTGTTTATTATAGGTCTTTAAACACCAAGATTATATCTTGCATCTTCTGTTGGACATATCCCTGGCCATATCATGATGCCAGCTGTGAAGCAGTACTGGAATATTAGCACGTTGCAAACACCAAAAAACACCACTTCCTCTGCACTCTCATGAAACCAGCTTCTTTTTCTGTTTTCAGCACCAACTTGGAACACACGCTTCTCCTGTGTGCTGGGTTTAGATCAACAAAACTGTTTGCCATGCCCCCATTTCTCAGCTTGTATTTATGTCATCCTGCCAGTCCAAGAACAAGACCCTAGAATGAAGAAAAGCACAAAAATATAGATGTGCATGGCTATCTTGGTGATATTATTTGTTTGGTGGTGCGAGATACTTTTTCATTTCTTGATTTCTCCCAGTATTGGAAGCCCTGGGTGAGAGAAACTTCAGGTAAATAATATGGAATCTCCAAATGTAAAGTAGAAGAAATATGGATTGGTTTCTTAGCTGCATTTTGTATCTGCTTACACAGTTTAATCTCATATCATAATCCAGAATCCACTGCAACAGCTATTAAGTTTATTTTCATGACCATTGCAAAACAGAGGTCAAGTGTAAAAAGCAGAAACAAAGCAATTCAATGAAAAGTATTAAGAAACTTTATTTATTTATGATACATCCAAGACCCAGAAGCAGAAAAGGGGAAAAAAGTGTTGCTTGCAATGCTTATATTCATTAGGAAACATGCCAAAAGTTGAGCTGAGGCTCTCCAGCATTCTGTTTCATTTACAAATTACTTTAAGTTTTCTATGCCTGAAGCCTGTCAGGTCCCTCTCAGATCTATCTTGTCTCTTCACCCTTCTTCCCTTGTTGAAGGCAGATTTTAGGATTTTGTGTTTTCTATTCAAGATGATATGCTTTGAACCAGATTTCACCTGCAACCTTCAAGGAACTGAAAAAAACAGAAAATAAGATTCTCTTCATTGCCATGAGAGTTAAGTCCTACTTAGAAAAAGCATGCCTCAGATTCAAGCAGAGAAGTGAATTCAAGTGCAGTAAATTGAGGACAGAGAGAGTGGCCCAAAAATCTCTCGGTGAGTGATACTTCTTTTAGGTATTTGACATGTCTTGACAGTTATCTCTAGCTTGCATTGATGCTTTATATGGGTTATCATAAAGTAGCACTTTATCCAAGCACCCAAATTTCATATGGAAGGCTCTTTGATGTTAACTAATAACTAATTATTCAATACTAACTTTATGAAAAATGCATGTGATAGAACATATGCTTAATAACTAGCATCTCTCTCTTTCTGATATTAGGCTTATTTTTATTCTTTTAATGGATCCAGAATCTTTGTTCTCATTAACAGCTTCATACTTTGCACACCAGATCGCTTTTGAAGCCTCTACCCATTGGACAATGTTCAGTTGACATATTCACATGTATATAAGTATGTCTATATCATTGCATGTTCACCTTTCCCATGTCCTTAAGAGCAAAGCCATGCAGATCCTTCGTTTGATTTGCTGTTTGGCTAATCTTTATAAATTGAATGTTTCCTAGATCCCCAACTCCTCTTCTGACCTGATAGTCTTTGCAGTCCGATACTTACTGCACAATGTCAGCCAAGCCAGTGAACAGGGCTTTTGATTGATATTCAATACCGTGCTTGGCACACATGGATTTCACCAAAGGAGCCACCTTCCAAAAGTTGTGCCGAGGCATCGTAGGGAAGAGACTATAAGCAGAAAGGAAGGCAAAGAACTTGTGATTTTTTACTATCTTTTTGTCTTATTCGAACTATGAAGCAGTTTCTCACTGATAGCTTAAAATCTTTCTTATTGCCCTAAATCAGTACTCACTGGTGCTCAATTTGAAAATTCAGGTGCCCCGTTACCCAGTCATTGAAAAAAGATTGATTCACATTGCATGTTGCCTGGAGCTGGAAGAAGAAAGAAAAACAAGTTTTAATCCAGACATACTGTGAATGAAGAAAGAACAAGCAAATGTCCATGATTTATATTTATATTTGTCCATGATTTATATTTATATTCATGTTGGTTTGTATGTATGTATGTATCGGTGTATAGCTAGTATTTCTAGACAAATATATTGAATTTTGGAAATCTTAAATTATATTACCCTAATAGTAGAGTTTAAATACTCATTTCTTTTATGTACACTGAGAGCATATGCACCAAGACAAATTCCTTGTGTGTCCAATCACACTTGGTCAATAAAAAATTCTATTCTATTCTATTCTATTCTATTCTATTCTATTCTATTCTATTCATTTGGTATCAAATATGATAGTCTTCAGTGTACAGTTTTGAAAACATGGAGAATTAAAATGTACTTCTAGTAATATATTTATTTTTCATTTTGTGAAACAATACTTTTCACATATGCAAATTATAGTTGATCCTGTGGTAATTGAATTATTATGGATCTGTGAATTATTGTCATATAATAAAATTACACAGACAAGCTAAAGTTTAATCATATACAGCCAACAATTTTATCTTTGAGATCTCTGTTACAGAGGTGGGTTTCAGCAGGTTCCGACCAGTTCTGGAGAACCAGTAGTGGAAATTTTGAGTAGTTCAGAGAACTGGTAAATACCACCTCTGACTGACCCCTCCCCATCTATTCTCTGCTTCCCAAGTCCCAGCTGATCGGGAGGAAATGAGGATTTTGCAGTAACCTTCACCCGGAGTGGGGAGGGAATGGAGATTTTACACTATCCTTCCCCTGCCACGCACACCAAGCCATGCACCAAGTCATGCCATGCCCACCAAGCCACACCCACAGAACCACTGGTAAAAAGTATTAAATTCCACCACTGCTCTGTTACCTGTGTAGAGAACCAATCCATGTTTTTATCATGATCAATGTACATAGGAAGATGACTCATCTGTGTTATCCATGTAAATAGGATACTCTCCAGAACACTAAGAGACAGAAATGAAGCAAAGTCAGGCAAATGAGGCAAAGTGAAACTATACACAAATAAGCTGTTAAGTAGAATAGTGGGAAAAATTTATTGGTTTGTTTGTTAGGCTTAGAATGCAAGTCATTTACTAGACCTAATGATGCCTTTCTATGGAAACCAATTCATTTCTAACACTCCCCCAGTGACAATGAGTCAGATCCAAACCAAAGATCAGGACCCTCAATCTTTCTGAGTTAATGGACAAATTTGGAAGGTTGACCAGATACCATGAAAACTGATCCCTACAGAATGGCTTGGCTATATCCCAGATAGCTATATAATGACATATGGTGACATATGATCCTCTTCGAGGAAGGCAAATTGGTGAGGTTGTTATTACTACTCCCTCCAGCCCTTTACGATACTCTTTATCATTTTTAAAAGACTGTATAAACTCAACTTAAAGAAATAAAAGAGAATAGAAAGAATAAAAAGTGCAAGAAAAGTAAGAATATAATAAAGAGAAAAGAAATACATAAAGAGGTTACTTCCAACCTTCATCACAATGTATAAACAAATTTAATAACTCTTCACCTTTTGTAAAATCACAAACATTTATCTCTTCATTCCATATCTTATCGATAAACAAATCGATAAAACATTATCCTTTTCAGTTCAGTGTCAGCAGAAAGTCCAAAAAGGATAGCTTATCTTATAATTTATCTTATTTTAATATTGATCAAATAAACCAACTTTATATTCCTTCCTTTTACTTAATCTTTAGCTCAGAATTCCCCAACTTTTCTGGCTTTGTGGACCAGCGGAGGGGTGGGGAGGGGATGGTTCTGCATGAGTGGCCAGCAAGTTCATGCACGCACTCATCCACTGCTCGCACAGGTGGGGATGCATGCATGCATGAACACTTGCCTACCACTTCCATGGCCCCGTTCCGAACAGCTCAAGGCCCAGATGGGGAATCCTGCTTTAGCTCATTCAAATATTGCAATAATATTTTATTTCTCTTCATTTCTTTTTGTCCTATCACACAAAATTATTCAAGGTTTTAACAAGACTCATCTTAAATTCCAGCTGGAAAAGCGTATCCAGTTCATTGTCTTGGTTTGTCATTTGTTTTTCATTTTTAAAATTTAAAACCTCAGCCAGCTTCTTTTGAAGATCCAGTGCAACTTCCTTTCCTAAATTATTCTCTTAGCCTATCAGTTATAAATCCAGTTTCAATATTGTCTCCAACTTGTCAAAATTTGTTCTGAAAATGACATTTCTTCGATAACATCCTTTGAATATAGTCTCTCCATTAAAGCATAATCATTACTTATTTTTTTTTGTGTAAATATTTTTTATTTATTTTTTCAAATTTAAACATAAAAACATAACTTTCAAGAGCAAAAATCTCGATCCGGTCATAGATGGTTACCACGCTTACGTTTCTTTCACAAGCTCACTTCACAATTTCCATTACATCTTTTATAAATAAGCAAAAAAAAAAAGATAAAAAAGAAGATAAAAAAGAAATTCAAAACTTAAGAAAAAACCAATTTTACCTCAAATTTAACTTTCATCTATATAAATCCATTATATCTATCCAAAATTAGTTTCAAATTCACTTTCACTCATTTTTACATCTGCATAACAATTCTAAACATATCTTTATTCTTCTTTACCTTATATCTTATACAAGTCATATCAAAATAATTTTTACAATATTCTAACCTCTTGTTAAGTGTTTACCTTACAATTTTATCACCATTTATTCTTAGTTTCAATTCAATACCACTCCATTTTTATTATATTTTATAAAACAACATTTTATCTAATTTTAATCCTTTGACCCTTATCCTCAAATCAGTTTACCTTAGTTTTTTTTTTCCTCCCAGTTTACATATTACACAGATTTCTCTCAAAGGCATATTTTATTTACTCCAATTTCTAATATATTTTCCACTATATCTCCCTCTAATATTTAACTATCTTCCAGCTTATTCTATTTGATTAATTCTCACCTTGATCCCCTCTAAAACACCAACTATTTAGTTGATTTTAGAATAGTTCCTCAATCTTCTCCAACTCTCCTCCTATTTGTTTGACTGTTTCCTCCTTAACTCCCTCCATTGTTTGGCTGATTTCCAGCATAGTCTCCTCCAACTCTCCTATTTGTTTGGCTGTTTCCAGCATTTTGAATTAATTTCCAACGTATTTCCACCGAGTCTCAAACTCTTATCTAGTTGGTATCCATCCCACACATTTTAACTGTAATATAATTATCTGTTTTATATCATTTTTCCATCCTGCTCTTTCAATTTAAATCTCAGTATATTTCATAATAGTCATCATTTCCAACTTATATTATCTTAATTCAAGACTAATCATTAGCATCTGTGTATCTTGTATTTTGTTCAATCGATCCTTATTCATCAGTTTAACATTTGTTTGCAAATTAAAATTAAAACGTATTACATCAAACAGTACATTTTCTTAAAATTTTCCTGTCTCAAAATATATTCTTCTTTATTATTTTTATCCCCTTGATATCATCCACTATTTTAATAGCCACCTCTTATTTTCTATTTTTATTATTTCACAACCCTTCCTGTTTTTATCCAAAAATCATATATACCTAGGTTTTTAAACTTTATCATATATACATAAGCTTTTAAACTTTACATTTCAGTTAGTCACATGTAAATTTATCCACTTTAATTCTTCCTTTTCTTCCTTTTCCTCTCTGTCCAAAGTGCTCTATTTCAAGGTTCATCAATTCAAAGTAAAGAATTTCTGTATGTCCCTTTAAAACTTTTAAAATGTCTGATCCAAGTGTAGTGCATCAGCTTCCTGTCTTTGTTAACTACGCCACACCTAGTTTTGTCAGTCTCCATTGTTAAAATCCAAAATGTTCTTTCTTTCTTCTTTCTTCTTTCTTAAAATCATCTGGGACAGAGTAGGAATCTCCAAAATTCTTATATCCAATATTAATTTCAAGTAATCCAAGGTAAAAAGCCAATTAACATGTTTCTTTTCCACCCAGAAAGGGAAATCTCTTTAATCCACTTCTCTCTTTAATCACTGCAGACTCCATGGTTATTTTGTAGCCATCCATCTCTATCTTCATTAGCTTCATTTTCTTTTAGAGGCATTAATTCTCAGGAATATCCATTTCTCCTCTCCACTTCAGTTAAAGGCATAGTCAAATTTCAGAAATTTATTAATACCAAATCATCTAGTTTAAGTTTACTGCAACAAAATTCAATTTGGGTCTTTTACCCATTTTTTTTTCTTTTCAATCTTTAAGCCCTGCAGTCCAACAGCCGCTTTTAATTTTGGGGTCTTATTTTCCAATAATTCCAAATAGGTACGTTATTGCCTGGGTTGATGTCACTCACCCGGCTTCTTGATTTTTGCTCTTTCTTCATCTTCTTCCTCCAGCACAATCCTTGTTCCCGGTTGCCGCAGTTTCAGGACAACCACCATGGCTGCCATCTTGCTGCCGCCGGTGTGAAGGAGAAGCCTCCGGCCCCAAGGAATCCCCCATTCCTCTTGGCCGCCCAAGGTGTTACTTCTTGTCCCCCTGTCCCTACAAGACAGGGGAGGTCCGCAGACCTATCGGCGGCAGCTTAGCAGAGGGGATTTGGCAGGGCTCAGCGGAGCTCGCCATTTCCCTGTCTGTGTCCCCGCGGCGCCAACCAGAAGTCTCTCCGCATAATGACCCTCTGTCATGGACCGATCATTCCCTCCTTAGACTCGACTTTTCCTCCGCCATCCCCCGTTGCAGGGGTGTGGAACCAGTAAGATGGTTCCGCCCCAGGAGCCTGATGGAACCCGAAAGTTTCCTGATGGAGCTTGGGTCATTTCCCACCTCCTTAGCCCACGATTCATCTGAGACCCTTGTCGCGGCCTGGGAACAGGCTGCGGTGGGGGCCCTGGATCGAATCGCGCCTTTGCAGCCTCTGATCCGACGCAGATCCCGGGCGGCTCCTTGGTTTACTACGGAGCTCAGGGAAATGAAGCGTCGGAAAAGATGCCTGGAGGGTGGTTGGAGATCCTCCCGATCCGAGTCCGACCGAACACAACTAAGAACCCATATTAGGTCTTATCTTGTGGTGATGGAAGTAGCGAAACGTAACTATTTCGCCACTCTCATTGCATCTGCAGAAAATCGCCCAGCAGCCCTGTTTAGAGTGACCCGCTCCCTCCTTAATCAGGGAGCGAGGGAGGACCCCTTACAGGGCCGTGCTGAGGACTTTGCACAGTTTCTGCAAGATAAAATCACTCAGATTCAGACCGGGTTGGACTCTGACTGGACAGAGTCCGTTGAGGTGACAGGGCCTAGTCTCGGTGGAGACATCTGGGTTGAGTTTGAGCCTGTTTCATTGGATGACGTGGACAGGATTATGGGTAGGCTGGGGTCTTCCACATGTTTACTGGACCCTTGTCCCTCCTGGCTTGTTTCGGCAGCCAGGGAGGTGACTGGAGACTGGATCCAGGCTATTGTCAACGCTTCACTAAAGGAAGGGTCTTTCCCGCTGCGCTTAAAGAGGCGGTGGTTCGACCCCTCCTTAAGAAGCCTAACCTGGATCCTGACGTACTTAACAACTACCGTCCAGTCTCCAACCTTCGCTTTTTAGTGAAGGTTGTTGAGTCCGTGGTGGCACAGCAATTCCCTCAATTCCTGGAGGAAACTGACTACCTGGATCCTTACCAATCTGGTTTCAGGCATGGCCACAGCACGGAAACGGCATTGGTTGTCCTAGTAAATGATCTCTGGGGGGCCAGGGATGGGGGTTGCTCCTCCATCCTGGTCCTTCTTGACCTCTCAGCGGCATTCGATACCATCAACCATGGTATCCTGCTGCAGCGGCTCAGGGGGATAGGGTTAGGAGGCACTGTTTTACAGTGGTTCTCCTCCTATCTCTCAGGCCGTCTGCAGTCTGTTTGGGCGGGGGGTCAGGGATCCTCCCAGAGGCCTCTCACTTGTGGGGTGCCTCAGGGCTCGGTTCTCTCTCCTCTGCTCTTTAATATCTATATGAAACCGCTGGGTGAGATCATCCGTGGTTTTGGGGTGAGGTATCATCAATATGCTGATGATACCCAGCTTTACAACTCCACCCCTGACCACCCTAGGGATGCCCTTTCCGTGATGTCCCACTGCCTGGAAGCGGTGCGGGTTTGGATGGGGAGGAACAGGCTTAGACTCAACCCTTCCAAGACTGAGTGGCTGTGGATGCCGGCATCCCGGGATCTGGAGGTTCCATCCTTAATGATCGAAGATGAAACCCTTGCTCCCTCCGACAGGGTCCGCAACTTGGGTGTCCTCCTGGATTCTCGGCTGTCTTTAGATGACCATCTGACGGCCGTAACCAGGGGGGCCTTCGCACAGGTCCGTCTTGTGCGCCAGTTGCGCCTGTTCCTAGACCGGGATGCCCTCGCCACGGTCACTCACGCCCTTGTTACCTCTAGGTTGGACTACTGTAACACCCTCTACATGGGGCTGCCCTTGGGATGTGTCCGGAGGCTTCAGCTAGTCCAAAATGCAACCGCGCGGGTAGTTACGGGGGCGTCTAGATACTCCCGTGTAACACCTCTCCTGCGTGAGCTGCACTGGCTACCAGTGGCACTCCGGATACGCTTCAAGGTGCTGGTGCTCACCTATAAAGCCCTTCATGGCTTAGGCCCGGGGTACTTGCAGGACCGTCTCCAGCCGTTCTCCCATCGTCCTGTGCGCTCTCACAGAGTCGGCCTCCTCAGGGTGCCGTCGGCCAAACAATGTCGGCTGACGACCCCCAGGGGGAGGGCATTCTCTGTGGGAGCCCCGACCCTCTGGAATGGATTGCCCACTGAGCTCAGGACAGCCCCCGACCTTCTTTCCTTCCATCGCGAGCTGAAGACGTGGCTCTTCCGCCAATTAAACTGATCCGTTTGGGGGTACACTGGTATAATTTTAAATCATTTTTAATTGGGTTACTGATTTTAATTTGGTATTGTATTGTGATTTGTATTGAAGTTGTCATTTTGTAAGCCGCCTTGAGTCCCTAGGGAGAAAGGCGGCATATAAATCACAATAAATAAATAAATAAATAAATAAATAAATAAATAAATAAATAAATAAATCATTACTTATTATAATTACTAGTTCCTAATTCAGTTCTACAAAAGTCTCCTTCAGTGTTTTTATTTTGATAACATTTTTTACTATCTTGCAGGCCTGTATATCTCTCCTCTACTTAAAATCTTTCTTCCCCTCTTCTGTCAAGTTTTTGAAATCATGAAATTATTTATCTATGTTATGTTCTGTAAAATGCTGCCTCTGCTCTTTGTCTTCCCTCCTCCTCTTTATCGTATCATTAATAACAAAGAGTTGTTATTGATCTGCACTGTGCTGGGCATTATATAGAATGCATATGTCATCTGTCCATGAGCTCATGGTGGAAAAGATAAGAGTCTGAAGATGATCCATAGCTTTTTTGCGAAAGTTGCTTTTTTTTTTTTACACAAGAAAAAGTTCACTTGCAGCTTAAGGAGGTAGGGAAAAAATCAGATACTCACTGAAGAAAAAATACTTGTGCTGATAGTTATAAGGCATGTATTTCTTTTTCTGCAAACCCAACTGTAAAAGAAAGTAGGTCATGAAAAAAAAAACAAATAACTTTCACTAGGTAATTATAACTTAAGGCTCCATTTCTTTAACATCCTTTTCAGCTGCTCTGTGAAATAAATACTCAGGCAGGAAAAAAGGAAAAAAAGTGAGATGCACACAGCTGTCACAATAATAGATTGTAATTATGGTAGATAGAATAGACTGCAGTCTTTATTTTCAGATGCAGAAACACATGGCAGAGTGAGATAGCGTTTGAACTAAGCCCTGCAATATAAATACGGAAAGAACATTCTTAAACTTAGTTATTTTTTAGCCAGGAAAGGAAGCTGTCCCTTTTGGTAGCAGAAACACTAGATAAACTTTTACTAACCTTTCCATTAGTAGAAGGCCCCAAAGGGAAGCGTTACTGATGGACCTGGATCTGATGGGTTCAAAGTGCTCCATTGTCCCAATATCAGCTCTTCAGCCACACCATCCTATAGCTGCCACAATTAATATCCTGACTGGTTTCAGTAGGGGTGAATTAACAACAAAATGGGAATCCAGAATCTCAGCTAAATGGGGCAGCTTCTTCATTTTGAGATTTATACTGACTGCCACAGTCTCAGAACCTCACAACCATCAGAGATAAAACATTTTCATCCAGTATTTATGCTTGTGAGGCATAAGTAATTCTATAGTTTCTTTGTTTTAAGAAAGAGCCAAGGCCAAATATACTTATCAAATCTAAAACAATCCACAGATGCTTAAGCCCCATACCACCCTCCATCTTCTATCCTACCCGAGCTACCAGATTTTTGGACAGGGAAAGAATCTGTTACTTTGCTTCCCTAAACACCTTCTTAGGATTGCACTCATGGCCATAAAAACTTGCTGCTTTCCTCAGAATCCTTTTGTACAGGATTGTTAAATCAATCCAGTGAGATAATTCACCCAGTAATCCAATCCATAATATTTATCTATAGTTATGAGCTACAACAGGAGTTGCCAGTTGGCATCAGGCTAGAAACTGCAAGATAGTGAGTTCTAGTCTCTCCTTGGGCAAAGCCACCCTGACCTCAGCCTTAGAAAGGGAAATACACTTTTGTTGTGGCTACCTTGGGTGAACATTTTGTCCAGCCCTACTAATCTACTACCTCTGTGAGATTTGTTTTATCAAACGCTGCTAATAAATACAAATAATAAATCCAGAAGAATTATATTGTGTTCAACTCTAACCTTTGACAATGAAATGGCTTAACAGTTTCTGATCTGAAAGGAGAGTGGTCAGGGTTCAGTAAAATCTGTTGTCATCTAAGCAGTTGCTTCTTACCTCCAGAGAAAGAGGTTCCCCTAATGACATAAGAACAGGATGAAATGAAATGTCTGGGTCCTTCTGGAAACAGTTGGGTTTAGCGTGATGCTGGGAATGGTGCAAAGTCCACCAATTAGCTGAAACTCCCTTTAGAGGAAGAATGAAAGAAAACATTCAGGCTCTTTTAAAAGATTACTTGACTATTTACTACCACAGAATTCTGCTTTGAAGAGGTAATATAGAGGAGCTTCCATTGAACCTTTGAATCAGCTTTTCAAATAGGTTTGAGGTGTTGAGTCAGCTGACTCTGAATTATCTTGGAGAGGTTCAAAACAGTTTGAAGATTAAGTGCGCTTTCTAGCTTTGAAGAATCTCAAACATTCATTGCCTATAACTGGGGGAAATGTGAGTATTGTAATGAGTTCTCTGATATTAACATGAGTAGGTGGCAAATGAGTTTTATCACCTTTCAAAAACCCTGCCTGTCAAAGCACTGGAAGAGGTGCTGCTCTGCTATTTGTGTATTTAGAGAGATTCACCTGTGGGGAGAAACAGAAAACAAAATAGAGACCTACATTTATTCTGCTCTGTCTCACTTTAAATGAGTCTTTTTTTTTTTTTTTGCCTCCATACCATTTTATTCTTATTTTTCTTTGACTCACCTGTAGTACACTCCCTGTTAGCTTTGGGTCCAGTATGACCCAAAATGAAGTAATTGCAACCAAGGAAAAGCAGAATCTGAGGCAAGAGCGCAAAAATTACAGATAGAAAGCATCCCCTCCCACTGTCCAATGTAAACCATCCAATCCAAAGGTCTCCAGGGGTCAGGTGGAAGCACATGTCTGGCGGTGTCATTCATCAGGAATGCCATGGTTGACCTTATAGCAGCTTCAAAGATGAACCACTATATCTTAGGATTCACTTTCGTTTCTCTCTCCAGCCTGCTTATAACTCAATGCTAGCTTCCCCCTCCCTGTTACCATGGCAGCCAAAGCAGTAAAAAGCAGAGGTTGACACCTTTGTCACTGGTATTTAATCAGACTTATTGATAAGGAAATTTTATCACTAGCATTTAACACCTGGTATCCTCATCTAATTTCACTGATAATGTTGACACAAAGATTTTAATAGCAGTGTTAGGAAATAGATTATAGCAAAGTGATACCATTTGTTATTAAGAAAGATCAAGCAGGGTGAAAAAAAACTAGACATGCAACAGATAATATAGGATTCATTGTAGATATAACAGACTTAAAATAAAGGTCAATTTGTAATCTCATTATTAGATGCTGAAAAACTTTTGATAAAATACACAAACAATACATGTTTATTATATTAAATAGATCTGAAAATCCCTTGGAATTCATTAAATGGATTAAGAATATTATATCTACATCTAAAGTAAATTTTAATGATGTTTTCTCCCACTTTTCCACTATTTAGAGAAACTAGACACAGATGTCCAGTTTCACCTTTGCTTTTTAATATCTACATTAATTAATACTTCAATCAATATTTAACACTTTTTGGTTTCTGCTATTAGACAACATAGAAATATCTATGGAGTACTACATAACTCAGTTGAATACAAATGCCACATTTTTTTGTTTATTTCTAAACCTCATTCTGTTATTTTAGTATTGATGCAAAAATAACAGAATATTCTATTGTCCAAATCAGAACTGATGCTAATAGGTAAAAATTGGGTCACCCATTCACTAAATATCAATTCCATATTTGCACCGAATCCATTAAATATATATACTAAATGATACTAAATGAATATCTTTACAGGAAATCCAATTTCTAATTAATGAGGCAGGATTCAGTTTTTAGAACTATCGTGCTTACCTATTGTCTTTTTTTTTTTAAGTGTTTTATTGTAAGAAGTTATAATAATACAATTTTTTCTCCATCCAGTTACATAGTATGGAAAAAGAAATAAATGCAAATTACATATTAAGCATAAGTGAGTAATTTTTTTCAGACCAGATACATAGTAGTGCATAGCAATAAATAAAGAAAAAGTGGAGAATTGTGTTCTCATATCATTTAGGTCGTATATATATATATCTATAATAATCTTCTACTATACATTAATGAATACATAGATTTTTGTCTCCTACTTATCCGAGTATCCTCTCCTTGCCATCTTATCTTTCCTACCATCCTCTCTACATCTTCTCTTACTATTCCGTTTTACTATTTCTTGTTCTGGTCTCTTCCCTTTTTATTTCAATTTCCTCTTCTCTAGCCACCCGTACCACTTGTCCCATACGCTGTAATAATCCGAATCATCTCTGTCATTAATTTCTAATGTTAATTTATTCATCTCGGCACACTCCATTATTTTGCCGATTACTTGTTCCTCATTCGGGATTTTTTTCTCTTTCCATTGTTGGGCGAAGGCAATTCTTGCTGCTGTTATTATATGCAATGCCAAATATTTCTTCTTTTTTGTCATTTCCTTCTGAAGAATTCCCAGGAGAAGTATTTTAGGATCTAATTCGAAAGTTTCACCTATTATTTCTGAGAGCCAATTACAAATCATCTTCCAGTACTTTTTTGCTTGGGAGCACGTCCACCAGCAATGGTAAAAGGAACCTTGCTGGTGTGCACACTTCCAACACCTTGGGTTAGAGTTAGGGAAGATCTTAGCAATTCTAGCCGGTGCTAGATGCCACCTATAAATCATCTTTTTACCTATTGTCAAGTATTAAATAGTGAAAGCTAATAATTGGGTTCAATTTTCCAATTTGAGCAACCTTGGAATATACATATACAGCACCTTTGTTTGGATGGACAGTATTAGGATATACTGTAAATATGTAAAACTCTGGTACCTCTGAAAACAATTACATTATTTAGAAACTTATGGAATGGAATGTCTACTTTTAAAACACTATTTTTTCCATGCCATATTGACCTTATGGTCTACACTAAGTTGGCACTGGATAAGAGTTAATGGAATTCAAGGATGGCTGGACTTGGACTGCTTGTGGGAACATAACGACTCCAGGATGATTCCTCTCTTGACTCTGCCCCCCAACTCTGACTCTCCTTCTCATACAGAAACATTCTTCAGTCTTTTTTTTTTAAGTAGTCACAATAGCATATAACCTGCTTTTTCTAGTTAAATTTGACTAGAGTGTTTTCTGTTTTACTTCAGTATGATTGATCTATAGACTCCTTGTTGGACAACCAAGAGACTGTGCTGCTCTTTTTTTTCATTCTTATTATTTCTGCCTTAAAACAGTAGAAGAGGAATATGTCAAAATTTATATCAGAATTCTGTAGAACTTTTTCAGCCTATTCATTCAAACTTTCAGAGTTGATATCCTCAAAGGTATCTGCTATGTTATTCTCATTTTATTCTATACCCCCAAATGAAACAGTTATAGGCACTTTGATGTTTTCCCATTCAAGTCATAACTTTCTTGAATTTATTTAACATGATCTTGATCTATATGAATCAGGTCTCACCACCTTCAGATCTGAAATTGGGATTGGCTTTTGGTTAATTTTCACATTCATCTTGTTTATTATAAGTGAAATTCCATTATTTGTCTGCAGTTAATAAGATAGACAAACAAATAGTTTGATTTAACATAAGAGAACTCTTTGTATTCTTTGAGTGGGAATGGGAAAATGAGAATCCCATTTGACACCTCTGTTATAAATAACACAACACATTTGATATTTACTCATGAAATTTTTTCATGTATATTTGCAACATTCCATATTCCTTCCCTTCAATTCTGTGGAACATTTTAAGAATAATATACCTTACTTACCTTTAAATGGCACATCACAAATTCATGAAAAAGGTGGTTCCATTTTGGATTACTGAAGACTGAAAGATGTCCCAAATCATGTTGTAGATAGCCTGCTTGAGACTAAAAGAAAAGGGTGGTTCACAACAGAAGAGGAGTGACTTTTGTGTCACTCCTGCAATTTATATCCAATGGTATTTGTAATAGCTATGCAAGAACTGCTGGGATAGATAGAATAAAGGCTCATTCATTCTAGGATATTTTTTTTTTATTCAATCAAAGATTCAGCCACCCAGAGAAACATTCCAAACTGGATAGGCACAAGAAAGCAATTCTACAATATAACCACAGATATCTTCCACGACCGTATCTGATATTGTGTGATAGACATGAGAAGACATGGTTGCTTTTTAATGCTCTATTTTTGTTCCATTGCTTCAGAATGGAAGGTTTGAGATATAAAATGACAAGGCATCATAGAACATAGAATAACAGAGTTGGAAGGGATCTTGCAGGTCTTCTAAGATAAATGGCTGCCCAGTCTCTTCCCAAAAGCCTCCAATATCCTTCTTTTCTACAGAATCATTTGTTGGGCAAAACAGAAGTGGCTTTTTATGTAACTGAATTGCTTAGCCTTCTTCAATCCTTATTCCTCCAAACAATTGAATGCCATCTTCTGAAGGCCGGTGACAATTGAATCTGTGTTATTTTCCTTATAAAGAAATTATTTTAATTTGGCTGAAAGACATTCTGCTGTAGGAAGCCAATCTAATGAAAAATGCAATTTTGCCTCAAAATAAAGGCAAGAAAATTACCTGAGAAACGGTCAGCAACACTGTGGCAATAAGAAATGATGTTGTAGATATCCCAAAATACCACAACACAAACCAGCCAGCAGCATCCAGCAGTAAAATATGGAGCAAGGTCAGGAAAAAGAAGAATTGGTTTGGCTTGAAGAGTCCCATCATTTTAACAGTGGACAGCAGTTCCCGAAAATCTTCTACTAATAATTTCTATGGGGAAAAATTCAGAAAATTTGCAGACGTTTTGATTTTATGGATACAGCATAGCTAGACAGTTAACATCAAGAAGTCTTGGTGGAATTGCCCTCCAAACTATCCCTTTCTTTCCAAACTTTTTATAGGGAATGAAGAGGAAAGCATGTGACCCCAAAATTTGACAAATATTCTTTTAAAAATAGTAAATGTGGAAAAAAAACAAATGAAAAATTGTTGCATAAATAAACTATTTTTCTTCTTAGTGACTGCTACACAACTTACAGTTCATGTTTGGGACACTAGAAATCAATGTCTATCTGGATTTAATAATCTTGGCAAAAAGCACTAATGGGGAAACAGAGAGAGAGGGGGGGGAGAAATAATTGGTAAAGCTGAAGATGATTTTATGGTATAGCTTGGTATAGTTTGGTATAGCTTTATTGAGTGTCCACAAAGTGGCACCACTTTATATACTCCTCCAATGCACATACTAATCTATGGTTGGAGAGTTATTAGTTTAAACAAAACCACTGAGTGTTGTGTTATTCAGTACTATTTTTATTTATATATTTATTGTAATATATTTGCACATTAAATTCATTTATAGAACACATTTGTACTATATTCCAACTTCATTAATATTTACTTAAATGTAGTATTTTATTACTGTTATAAAATATGTAATCAATATTATGAATTAATGTTAATTATTATTCTGATTAAATATTAATGGAACTGCTATTGGTATCTATTTACCTACTTTAATCACTTTATAAAGCTGCCCATTCAATGACTTCCATCAGGTAACATCAGTGGATACCAATTGGCCAGAAGTCTCACCACAGGTCAATCCCAAGCATGATCAATTCTGTTTCAGTGCTGTGCCCAGGTCTGAAACCTGACTGAAAAGGATCCAGATAAACCATTTTCTCCAGACTCTCTGAGGCTGCATTGCAACCACCTGCTTAATAATCTTGAGAAGACAGGCTGGGATTGATTAAGTGGAGGCTGAGGAAGGCAGCCTAAAAGAACTTGAGTTTACTTGCCCAATCTTATTGCCCAGCTGCATTTTTAAAAGTACTTTGGATCTTGTTTGGCAAAATCAGATAGAAAATCATCTGATGGGACATAAAACGAGTTTGCTCTACATCTGGAGGATGAAAAGAATAAAACTGTATATATTCACTCTACATTGGACACTACCTGGATATGTCTTGTTGAGATGACAGAAGCCTCATCTTGTGGGGTTATTTGGGTTCAGTTTGAATCTGTGGAGCCTAAAGAAGCAAACAGGGTTCTCTCCATGTTATTCTCACCTGTGGATCCGAGTCCTGCTTGCTTAGTGGAAGCAGACAGAAAGATGAGAGGAGGTGGGTGTGTGAGAGTGATAGTGAAGATATCCTTTGGATATCTTTGGGAAGAATCAAGTGCAGCTTCAGGGCAATGAGGTGGAGAGTGGATGGGAATGGAGTGGCCGATACTAAGATCACTTCATAATTAAAAGTCTGCTGAAGGAAATGGACTTTTACTGCTTTTATAAATGCCAAGAGATTGGAGTGAAATACAAGGACAATGCAGAAAGACTGAGGAATATCTTTGTAAAAATCTTTTACTGGCCTAAATAGCAGATCAGTTTTAATGACAAAAGTGATCTTTGACTCAAGCCCTATAATATTTAAGGGTATGCAGTTTAGCACCATAAGCCACTATCTCAATTTTCTGTCTCCAAACTTACATTTTTACTGGGTTCAAAGCTGGGCTGATCAGGTGCCAATTCCCAATCAAAAGCGATGTCATGTGCTTCCTTACTAGAGTCTTGTCAAGGTGAAAGGCTGTAAAAGGATCCTAAAGGCAAAAAGAAAAAAAATATTATAATAAAGAACCAATTTAACGGCAACCTGGAAGAAACATGTTTAGGCTGAGTGATTATATTTGATTCTTACCTTTCTTCTCAGATGATTTATCAACCATATGCTAGTCCCAAGCCCTCCAAAATGGGAAGTGTTAGGGAAGGCAGTGGTGAACTATCCTGCAAAAATTCTCACTAAAACACTTTATGGCAATAAGTCAACATGACTCGGATTGAATACCAGGCTGGATGATAGCCTACAAGCTACTGGAGAAGAACAAGAACTAGCTTTTAGTAGTCAGAGTTTTTATGATATTGTTGGAGGAAAGCCTTCAGGAATCCCATGTGGCCCATGATGAAAGAGTTGTCCACAACTGTACAATGCTATATTGAATTGGATCATGGAATGTTAAAGGCATATCCCTTGGGAAACTCAAAATTGTAAAACGAGAAATGATTAGAGTGAATATAGACATCCTTGGTATCAGTGAGTTATACTGCACAGGGAACGGTCAGTTCAAATCAGACAAGTTTATGGGGTTTTTTTCTGGAAACAATATCAAATGTAAAGGATTTGCATTCTGTGTAAGCAAACAAGCAGCTAAATGTGTTGAGAATTACATAGCATAAGCGATTGCATACTAATTTGAGTCAAGCCACTCAATATCACCATACTACAAATCTATGCTCCAACTATAGACTCAAATGATGAAATTGAACTTTTTTACAGTGAGCTTCAATGTGCTCAAGCAAATATATTATGGGTGATTTCAATGCAAAAATAGGCCAAGGAGAAGTTTCAAGAATAGTAGGCAAGTTTGGGCTAGTGGAATGTAATTAAGCTGTTGATTGCCTAGTGCAATTTTGCCAGGAAAATCATCTCAGTATAATGAAGACATGGTTTATTCAACACAAGCAACATTTATATACTGTATTTTTCAGAGTATAAGATGCACCTTAGTTTTTGGGGAGGAAAATAAGAAAAAAAAAGTCTGCCTCTGCCTACAAGCATACATCAGTATTCATCTGGCTAGCGTCCTGTCAGTGTGTGAGAGAATTGAGGGCTGTTTGGAAACTGAAACAGTATTTGCTGTGTGAACAACAAGGAGACAGCAAGGAGCCTGGGCATGGCTTAGCTCAACTGTTCTGTACTAAAGCTGCATGCTGTGCTGAGCTCTGAAACTAAACTGAAATTGAAAATCCTCTCCTCTGCTTGTGTTTTGTTTGTATTTACTACCACGTTGGAAAACTTGCTTTTGGTATTGTATATTTACTTCATGTTTTATATTATATAAAGAGAAGTTATTGAATCCTGCTGAATCAATTACTTGTGTGTGCTTTCAGGATGTGATTGCTGTTGCAAACTGTGACACGTCTTTGCAGCAAATAGTGAGCAGCCAGGTCAGCTTCAGCACATTATTGTAGCCTGATTCAGCATGAGGAGCTGATTGGCGAGTGGATTGGCTTCCCGGAACACCCCCAATCAGCTGTTCCAGGCTGCAGGGATTGCCTCAGACCATCACCGCCTCCGTACCTCATTTTTTTGGCCTCGTGGGCGGGGCTACATTCGGTGTATAAGACTATCCAAATTTTCACCCTCTTTTAGGGGGGAAAAGTGCATCTTATACTCCGAAAAATACGGTAAATGGACAGCACCAAATGGACAACATGAAATGAAATCAGATAGATTTCATTTTATGTCAACAACATTGGAAAAGTTCAGCTGCATCTGCTAAAACACTTCCTGGTACTGATTGTAGCTCAGACCATCAGCAATTAGTGGCTAAACTGAAGGTCAAATTTTGCAAAGTGAAAAAAGGTATTCCCCCCTCCCAAAAATCAATCTGAACAACACCTCATCTATGCATGCCATAGATGTTAAGAATAGTTTTGAATCACTGAATATAGAAGGGAAAGATCCAAATGAACAGTGGTGAGAGATCATTGAAATTGATGGAAAGTATGTGTCACACCAAAATCCAAAGAAAACAACAAGTGGCTGATGACACCATCAAAATAGCTAGTCAGAGAAGGGCAGCCAAGGACAAAGGTAATAAGGGCAAAATTAAAAAGCTGAATGCAATTTTCCAACATGAAGTCAGGCGAGACAAAAATAGACAGTGGGAGGAGGGAGTGTCAATATCTGGAAGAAGGTAACAGGAAGGGACGTAGCAAGGTCATGTTTGCCATAGTGAAAATGATGTGATCCAGCTTTTCAGCAGAGCAAGGACCACAACAGGAATGTACTAAGTAACCAGCAGAAGATCAAGAACAGATGGAAATAATATAAAGAATGACTCTATAGAAGTTTGACTTACCATCAAGATGATAATGATGACAGCCCAATTAATAATTAATGAAGCATCTTGAAAAAAGAAGTAGAATGGCCTATGGAGAAATTGCCAAATAGGAAAGTCTTGGTTATTGATAAATCTGTGGAATTACTAAGACCAGTGCCAGTTAACATCTTCACTGCCCTGTGGCAAGAGATATGGACTATTTGTTAATGGCCTTGGGACTGGAAAAATATGTTTTTAATCCCACTGGTAAAGAAAAGTGATGCCAGCAACTGCTCCAACTATTGCAAGATTGCATTGATTTCTCATGCAAGCAAGCTTCTTGCAAGTTAAAGATCATTAAACAGAGGCTACAGAATATCATCAATCAAGAGTTACAAGCTGGCTTCGGAAAGGGGCGCGTCACTCGAGATCACATTGCAGATCACTATTAGATGGATTATGGAAAAAGCACATGACTGTCAAAAGGATCTATATATGTGTTTTATTAAGGAAATTTGACTGTGTAGCACACAATAAGGTATGAGAGGCTTTGTGTGACCTTGGTGTCCCAACCCACCTGATCTGATTTATCAGATCATTGTACACTGATCAGGACGCAACAATGAGAAGTCTATGGTGCCACAGATTGGTTCAGCATCAGTAAGGGAGTTAGACAGGGAAGCATTTTATGACAAATTTTTGTTCAATCTGAAGTAATCATGTGAAAATTAGACCAGGAATTGCCTGATGTTGGAGTGAAGATTGGGGGAAGAACCATAAATAGAGATACGCAGATCATATAACACTATTGGCTGAAAATAAGGAAGATCTGGAAAAAATCATCTGGAAAATCAGGATAAAAGTAAAACAAGTAGGACTGGATCTTAACATCAGGAAAACAAAGATAATGACAACAGCTACAGATGGATATGAGATGTTTAAAATCAACAAGGAGGCAATTGAATTAATTCGAGAATTATATGCTCCTTAGATCAAAAATTGTTCACGTTGGCAGTTGTACTCCTGAAATCAAACACTGACTAACCTTAGACCACAGTGCAATGGTTAACATGAATAAGATCTAGAAAAGCATAAAAATTGATATTAATACAAAAAGCAGGCTAGTTAGAGCAATAGTTTTCCCTATAATGATGTATGAGTCTGAGAGTTGGACATTAAAAATGGCTCATAGAAGAATTGATGTCTTTGAAGTGGTGCTGGCATAAATAATTGCGTATACCATGGGCAGCCAGAGCAATCAACAGAGAGATTGTGAATCGTATAAAACCAGACACATCATTAGAAGCCAAAATCACAAGACCATGTCTGATTTACTTTGGTCATGTCATGCATGCAAATTTATTTGAAAAGTCAATGATGTCAGGAATAGTTAGTGGAACAAGAAGAAAGGGGCAAGCAAACAACAAGCTGGTTTGATACCATCAAAGTTGATACAAAGAAGAACATTCAATAATTGAAAGAAGCTGTGCTTGATAGGGTAGCATGGAGAGTATTTGCTAAGAGTCGGACATGACAGAATGGTTAAAATAACAAGTCATTGTCTATACCCATGATGGTGAACCTATGGTATGCATGCCCAAGGTGGCACACAGAGCCATCTTTCCGGGCACGTGAGCTGTCGCCCAACTCACCTGAAGCTGCGTATGTGCGCGCGTCCCAGCTGGTGTTTAGGCCTCCAGTGCACATGTGCCCAATTCCAGAGACCCAGCTGGTCTTCGGAGATCGCCTGTGCATGCATACTTGTATGCATGTATTGAATGCACAAAAGCCATGTGCATGTGCATATGGTGCAATTGTGCATGCAGTGCACGGGAGAGCCAGGTGAAAGCTGCGCCATGTGCAGAAGGTGCGGTTCAGTAGTGATATTCATCCGGTTCTGTCCAGATCACATGAACCAGTAGCGGCAACTGCAGAAGGCTCCGCCCACCCACCCAGACGTAATGCGTGACTATTGTGCATGCACAGAAGGCCATCGCATGCGCAGAGGTGGCACATGCTCACATTTGCAAACCAGCTGGTCCAGTCTTTGTTTTGTCAGGAATAAATCCTTGAGAGTGCTTTAATCAGAGTATTTTGTTTAAAAAATGAATAAAAAGCCCTGCTGATGATGTTACCTAGCCTATTAATGAAACGTACAGGAGCTAAATGGCAAGTTCAGAGAACAAATCACTGCTAAAATGTAAAACCTGAGCTACAAGTATTTTCTATTATTTCAATGAATAAAAATGTATAAATAAGCAAAAAAAAAAAAAAACCAACCCTTTAACTTCATTACAGCACTTCAACAACTTTATTTGCTCTAAGATGGAAAAAAAGGGCACATGCTGATCAGAGACAGTGTTTAACTCAGAGCTCCCCAAAGTGATCAGTACTGATCTACAAATATTGATGAAATTATCCAAGGGTTCATTGTTATTATAGGTAGTAATGTGAGTTAGAATACCATGTTTCCCTGAAAATAATACATGTTCGGATAATAAGCCCAATTGGACTTTTGAGCGCACATGCTATAATAAACCCCCTCAAAAATAAGCCCCCCCAAATATTTATATGCATGTGCAGCTGTTGTGTAAACAGCATGAGGTGAGGAGGCAACATGGGGGGGGACAGGGGGAAACATGCCCAGGCGCACCTGCCATCCACCAGGAACAGCCTAGCGGAGG